CCGGTGCAAGGAAGTTTCGCAGCCTAGGCGAAAATTTCCACCTTGCGCCCCCCCCAGCCCTGCGGCAGCTCCCCGCCTCTGCCCTGAGGCGCCCCCCCGTGGCAGCTCCCCCTCCCCCCCATGGCAGCTCCCCCTCCCCGGGGAGCCGTGCGGCAGCTCCCCACCCCAGCTCACCTCTGCTCTGCCTCCTCCCCGAGCATGCCGCCCCCGCTCTAATTCTCCTCCCTTCCCAGGCTTGCAGCCCCAAACAGCTGATTGGCGCCGCAAGCCTGGGAGGCGGGAGAAGTGGAGCCGCCGATGCGCTGGGAGAGGGAGTCTGAGCCGCACATGTCAGTGCGCCGCCGGCAACCCAGCCCAGGAACGCCGTAAAAAAAAAAATCGGGGGCACCGCTTTTTGGCACCCCCAAATCTTGGCGCCCTAGGCAACCGCCTAGTTTGCCTTAATGGTAGCACCGTCCCTGCCTGTCAGCGCACAGACCCCTCCCTCCCGCGCTGTGGGGCGGCTAACTCGAGCCAGCCGGCCCAAGACGGAGCGAGCACATCTCATCAGCTGCTAACACAACCGCCTTGTAGTGTAGACGTGGCCGCAGGCTCGCGCCCCTTGGATGCTGCTAGTCTTCCCACCATCCCCCCGCACGAAAGGATAGCCAAGTTCTCCCAGGATGCACTGGGAAGGAAGTCACAGAGGGGCTCAGCTTAGTGCAGTGCCAAGAATCATGGGACGCACCCCCAGAAGCATAGGCGCCGACTCCGTGGGTGATCCGGGGCTGGAGCACCCACGGGGAAAAATTGGTGGGTGTGGAGCACCCACTAGCAGCTCCCCGCCCCACCCCCCTGCCCCAGCTCACCTCTGCCTCCGTTCTGCCTCCACCTCCTCCCCTGAGCAGCCACCGCGTCCTGCTTCTCCCCACTCCCTCCCAGCGTTTGCGCAGCGAAACAGCTATTTCACACAGCAAGCCTGTGAGGGAGGGAGGGGGGAGGAGGAGGAATGCAGCACGCTTGGGGAAGAAGTGGGGCCAGGCTGGGGATTTGGGGAGGGATCTAATAGGGGCAGGGAGGGGGTGGAGTCGGGGCAGGGCCAGAGGGTGCGAGCACCCCCTGGTGCCAACAAAAGTTGGCGCCTGGGCCCAGAAGCCCCAGTGAACACAAAAACTGGGGCAGTGGGGAATACTGAAAAGGTCAGGTCCCTCACACAGAGTGATCTGGGCGGCTTGGTAAAATGGGTGCAAGCAAACCACATGTGCTTTAATACAGCTAAATGTAGATGTGTCCATCTGGGACACACAGAATGCAGGCCATGCTTTCAGGACGGGGGCCTCTAGCCTAGGAAGCAGTGACTCTGGAAAAGATCTGGAGGTCATGGCGGATAATCAGCTGAACATGAGCTCCCATTGTGAAACTGTGGCCAAAAGGGCTAATGCGATCATAGAATCATAGAATATCAGGGTTGGAAGGGACCTCAGGAGGTCATCTAGTCCAACCCCCTGCTCAAAGCAGGACCAATCCCCAACTAAATCATCCCAGCCAGGGCTTCGTAGAGCCTGACCTTAAAAACCTCTAAGGATGGAGATTCTACCACCTCTCTAGGTAACCCATTCCAGTGCTTCACCAGCCTCCTAGTGAAATAGTGTTTCCTAATATCCAACCTAGACCTCCCCCACTGCAACTTGAGACCATTACTCCTTGTTCTGTCATCTGCCACCACTGGGAACAGTCTAGCTCCATCCTCTTTGGAACCCCCATTTGGGTCGCTGAAGGCCGCTATCAAATCCACCCCCCCCCTCCTCTTTTGCAGACTAAACAAGCCCAGTTCCCTCAGCCTCTCCTCATAAGTCATGTGCCCCAGCCCCCTGATCATTTTCATTGCCCTTCGCTGGACTCTCTCCAATTTGTCCACATCCTTCTTGTAGTGGGGGGCCCAAAACTGGACACAATACTCCAAATGTGGCCTCACCAGTGCCGAATAGAGGGGAATAATCACTTCCCTCAATCTGCTGGCAATGCTCCTACTAATGCAGCCCAACATGCCGTTAGCCTTCTTGGCAACAAGGGCACACTGCTGACTCATATCCAGCTTCTCATCCACTGTAATCCCCAGGTCCTTTTCTGAAGAACTGCCACTTAGCCAGTCGGTCCCCAGCCTGTAGCGGTGCATGGGATTCTTCCGTCTTAAGTGAAGGACTCTGAACTTGTCCTTGTTGAACCTCATCAGATTTCTTTTGACCCAATCTTCCCATTTGTCTAGGTCACTCTGGACCTTATCCCTACTCTCCAACGTATCTACCTCTCCCCCCAGCTTAGTGTCATCCGCAAACTTGCTGAGGGTGCAATCTATCCCATCATCCAGGTCATTAATGAAGATGTTGAACAAAACCTGCCCCAGGACCGACCCCTGGGGCACTCCGCTTGATACCGGCTGCCAACTAGACATCGAAATCTTGACCACTACCCGTTGAGACCGACAATCTAGCCAACTTTCTATCCATCTTATAGTCCATTCATCCAATCCATACGTTTTTAACTTGCTGGCAAGACTCCTGTGGGAGACCATATCAAAAGCTTTGCTAAAGTCAAGATATATCACGTCCACTGCTTTCCACATATCCACAGAGCCAGTTCTCTCATCATAGAAGGCAATCAGGTTGGTCAGGCATGACGTGCCCTTGGTGAATCCATGTTGACTGTTCCTAATCACCTTCCTCTCCAAGTGCTTCAAAATGGTTTCCTTGAGGACCTGCTCCATGTTTTTTCCAGGGACTGAGGTGAGGCCAGGGCCGGCGCAACGGTCGCCTAGGGCACTGCGATTTGGGGGGTGGCGACCACGGCGGTATTTCCGTGGCGGGACCTTCCGCCGCCTAGGGCAGCGGAAAAGCTGGCAGCACTCCTGTGTGAGGCTGACCGGTCTGTAGTTCCCCGGGTTCTCCTTCCCGTTTTTAAAGATGGGCACTACTATATTTGCCTTTTTCCAATCGTCCGGGACCTCCCCCGATCACCACGAGATTTCAGAGATAATGGCCAACGGCTCTGCAATCACATCAGCCAATTCCCTCAGCACCCTCAGATGCATTAGATCGGGACCCAGGAACTTGTGCACGTCCAGCTTTTCTAAATAGTCCTTAACCTGTTCTTTCACCACTGAGGGCTGCTCACCTCCTCCCCATACTGTGTCGCCCAGGGCAGCAGTGGGACCTGTAAACAGGGGAATCTCGAGTAGGGGCAGAGAGGTTCTTTTACCTCTGTACCTGGCACTGGTGCGACCGCTGCTGGAATCCTGCGTCCAGTTCTGGTGCCCAAATTCAAGTCGGAGAGGGGTCAAAGAAGAGCCATGAGAATGATGAAAGGGTTAGAAAACCTGCCTGATAGCGAGAGACTCCAGGAACTCAAACTTCTTTGAGTAACCAAGAGAAGGTTAAGGGGTGACTTGATCACAGTCTATAACGTACCTACGTGAGGGACAAATCTTTTATAAGGGGCCCTTCAATCTAGCAGCGAAAGGTCTAACACGATCCGACGACCGGGAACTGAAGCTAGACCAATTCCGACTGGAAATAAGGCGCACATTTTTTAACAGTGAGAGTAACTGACCACTGGAACAACCTGCCAAGGGTCATGGTGGATTCTCCATCACTGAGTTTTTAAATCACAGTTGCTCTGCTCTAGGAATGATTTGGGGGCAGTTATCCAGGAGGTCAGACTAGATGATCACAATGGTCCCGTCTGGCCTGGGAATCTATAAATGTGGGCAGGAAGGGGGGAGGGCAACTTACCCTGCCACTGCCCATGCCATGCGCCTGTTTCTCCTGGTGCCCATCACCAGGCTATCTGGGAGGCAGCGAGCATACACATGTCTGCTCTGTAGCTAGGCAGAAGACGGTCTCCAGGGCAATGCAGAGCTGGATTCACAAACCGCTCCCCCCAGCCAAGGGCCAGGGCACACAGCTGTATTCCAGGCTGGAAGCGCCAAGGGGCTGGCTGCCTTGCTGGGAGAGCAGCAGCCCCCGCAAAGGGGAGGTGGGGGGATTTAACTAGGAAACATTGAGTGGCACCTCGTTAACCCTTTGCTCCCTGCTAGGCCAGGCCAAGCAGGGATCTTGGAGCACAATGCAGATAATACGAGACGTGATGCGTGGGAGTGGGGGGGATGCAGGGTCATGTGCCTCGTCCCCCTATTTGCTCTTTGGCTTGTACTGAGCATGCTCAGTAACACCGCTGAAACCAGGTGCCCTCACTCTGCCCCCCCACTATCGGCAGGTACAAGTGGTCTCTGCCACAAGGCACGGACAGGTCAGGGAGGAGGGAGAGACCAGGGAAGGACAGAGCTGCGGGTGGAGCATGGGATCGGGCCATCCTGCCAGCCAGTTCCCTGCACGACTTTGGGCAAATCCCTTCTGCTGCCTTTGCCTCGGTTTCCATTTCACAGATGGGGAAATGGAGGCACAGAGGGTCTGTCTACTCTGCAACCAACCCCCGTGGCAGGCCCGTGGCAGCTGACTCAGGGCTCGGGCCACAGGGCTATAAGATCACAGTACAGACGTTTGGGCTCAGGCCGGAGGCCGGGCTCTGGGACCCGCGTTACACAGCTTGGGCTCCAGCCCGAGCATCAACACTGAAAATTTTTAGCCCCGCATCTCGAGTCAGCTGACACGGGCCGAGCGTGGGAGTTTTCTTGCAGTGTAGACATGCCCAGAGAGAGGAAACTGTTTGCTCCAAAAGGTACCGAGGGAGGAGCTGAAGAGAAAGAACCCAGGAGTCCTGAAACCTGGCTCCCGCCTCTAACCGCTGGACCCCACTCTTCTCCCACAGCTGGGAATAGAACCCATGATTCCTGAGACCCAGCTCTAACCACTAGACCCCATTCCCCTCCAAATGAAGGGAATGGGACCCAGGAATCCTGCCCGGCCCTAGTTCTGGGAGGGAATGTGACTAGAACCCAGGCGCCCTGACCACTAGGCCCTTGTGCCTTAAGCAGCCGTTCTGGTCTTTGTCCCCTGCCCTCCTACCTGAGCTGCTTGGCGTAGGCCTGCTCGATCTCCGTCCGCTCCTTCACAAACTTCACGTACTTCTCCATCAGATCCAGCCCCCACTGGGTGTGACGCTCTATGTCATCAAACTGGTCCTGGGGGAGAAGGGGGGAAAAGAGAGGAGGGAGGTGTCACCGGCACAGCTGGAAACAATACAGCATCCTTCCTGCGCGCCCAACCGCCCACTCTGCTGACGCCCCCCACAGCTGTGGGCTCAAACCCCAGCGGTCCCCACCCCACCCCTCACAGAACCCCAGGTTCAATCCCCAGCTGTGCCAACCCACACCCTTGGTGACCCCCCCAAACACGGGGCTCAATCTCCTGTTGTCACACAAATGCCCCCCAGCCCATGTCCACTAATCTCAGACCACCCCCCACCTCCTCAGTACAGGCACTCCCCCCCTATGGCCTCTCCTGCGAGCAAGCCCCCTACAGACGGGGCACCAGGAAAACACAATGGGAGGAGTCCCTAGTGCTCCCCCATACATCCTCCCCCCACTCCACATCCCTGCCCCCATTCCAGCCCCCTGCCACATCCCCACACCTTCTCCCCCCCGATCCCCATGCTCCCCAAGATCACCAGCCCTGACCCCCAACCCGCCCTCCTTCCAGATCCCCACTGATCCCAGCTCCCCTACATCCCCACACCTTCGCCTCCAGATCCCAGTCATCCCTAATCCCCAAAGCCCACCCTAGGATCTCCAATCCCGATTCCTGCTCTCCCTGATCCCCGGCCCACACTCAGAGGCTGGGAAAGGAGCCCAAGAGCAGCAGCTAGCCTTCTGCAGGCAGTGGAGGAAGCGCCTGCATTCCCGTGGCCCCCCCACGGGCTCGCCCCGCTGGCTGGCAGCCAGGCCCATTCAGAGCTCGGAGGAGAAAGACGCCAGGGCAGGGGGGTGTTTATAAACCCAGCCACACAATGCGGCCTTGTTTACGAGAGCAGCTTTTGCCAGGGCTCAGGCAGGTTTCACATGGAGATCAGATACCCCTGCCCAACGACTCGTCTGGGCATGGGGAAATCCCTGGTACTGGACCCGCGCCCTTCCGACCCCGATGCCAGAGCCACCCACCAACCTGGCTGCAGCCCAGTCAAAATGCATCCTCACTCCCCGTCTGGCCTCCAGACCCTGTCACGATGCCAGTCGTCCACCCCCAGCCTCCTCTGTCCCTTCTCCATGCAACCTTGGCACCATGGGTGCAACCCTCCCCCGCTGTACCTCCTGCAGGTTGGCACAGCCTCACAGGCATGGTCTGCAAGGGGATGTTCGCCACTGGTGCTCCTGTGCAAATGGATACACCCCCTCGCCACCCACCCCAACCTGGTGCAAAAGGCTGCACTGTTACCAACCCTGATTTCAAAATCCCAGCGCAGGCAAGGACCCGGTTTCGGCCTCAGATGAGACATCGGAGTTATATTAGTAGTAAGGCAAAGTCAACTCAACGCAGACACCCAGTAGTATAAAAAGGACAAAACCCTCATGCTCCAGAGCCAGGGATCAGGAGGAAAAGATCCCCCATGGGGGAAAACCTGCCTCTAACTGCCACCCACAGAGTTTCTTGCACCGTCCTCTGAAGCATTGGATGCTGGCCCCTGTCAGAGGTGGGATGCCGGACTAGACTGCTCTGATCCGGTGTGGCAATTCATACGGAGGCACGTTCCCTGGCTTACGCCTCTTCATTTCTCTCTCCACTGCTCTGTGCATGATGGCAGTGCCGAGAGGCTCAAACCAAGCCCCGTTGCGCCAGGTGCTGCAGAGACAGTCCCTGCCCTGAAGACACAGGCAGAACGAGAACTGCAGGGGTTGCGCATTAACTATTATAAAAGGAGTATTTGAAAGGATATAAAACCTCAGGCTTAAAGCAATCTCTGTTAGGAATGAGCAGACCCATGGGTGTCAGCTAACATTTACACACTATCTAGATTCATACACTTTAAAGCCAGAAGGAACCACTATGATTTAATGAGCCCAACCTCCTGCGTAGCGCAGACCAGGATGAAATAGACCCAGAAAGGGTGGGAGAGGAACATAGCGCCTGGGGCACGATTTTCAGAAACAATTAGTGATTCGAGTCCCCAGCTAGGGCCCACCTTAACGCTGCGTTGGCTGGGGCGCAGTTCTGGGGACCCCAATCCTCGGAGGGCAGGTGCTCAGAATTTTGACCCACATCTCTTTAAGGAGCCTCAGATCACGCGCTTGGTGGCTTCTCCAATCGCTTGAAGCCTTTTAGAAAGAGAAACCCGGGCTTGATTTCAAGGTACGCTCTCTAGCTCAACTGCCAGATGTGGGCTGGAGGCAGGATGCTCTGGGTTATAAAGGAGGTCGGGTTCAGCCAGTGTTTCTCAGTCCTTTCAGCTTGGCAGCTCCTTATTCAACATCAAACATTTTCACGGCAAAGGTCACTGCTGGGTCCTTGGCATAAAGCCAGCCGCGGAGGCGCAGCTCACAACACACTCTGCTTTTGGGCTGCCAAAGCCACCCCACGAGGCTGGGTACCTCGCTCCCCCACAGGAGCCGGCACTGGGAGCCTGGCAGGGCACAGTCAGTTCCCTCCCCCATGGAGAAGAGCACACTTACCCTGCTGTCCCAGCACTCCCCTGCTCCCACCATTACACAAATCAAGAGACCAGACCAGGACTTAGGAGACCTTCGCTCAATTCCTAGTTCTGTCACACACTCCAGGTGTCATCAAGAACCTCGTTATTACCACAGCGTCTCTAAGCTCCAGTCACAGACCAGGGCCCCGCTGTGCCAGGCGCTGCACAAACAGAATACAAAAGATGGCCTCTGCCCCAAGGATCTTACAATCCAGGTAGAAAACAAAAGAGGACAGCTGGATATGGACAGACCATACTTGTCCCTCCTTAGCACAAGGAAACAGACAACATTGGTCAGCCTGATCGGCCGTCTCTCTCTGGGTGTGTCTGTGCAGCGTCCAGTTGTCTTGGTGCAACTCTAACAAAGAACACGGAAAGATTTGATTCAAAATATTAGATGCGAGATTCCAAGCGAAAATAAAGGTGGAGGAGAGAGATTTAAAACCCGGCCCCATCAGTGAGGAGAGCTCAGCAAGGAGGTAGGAGCAGGGAGGAAGGAAAAGTCATGACATTGACTAGAAATAAAGTGAACCGGACTCATTTTAGGCCCGGATCTCTCTCAAGAAGCTTTGCTCTAGATCGATAGGGGCGACGGGAGTGCAAAGCAAGAGGGTATTTAGAGAAAGAACAACGCCACTTTTTAAACCCACATCCTACATTTGGCTGCTGTCTCTGGCAGACTAAATCCAATCCACCTTGCATGAAGGAGAAAGATCAGTACTGAGGGATATTTGAAATACTTTACAAAGCACTTAACGAGCTCCTTCCATCAAAGGCTCTCTAAGCTCCTTGGAAACTTTGCAGTAAGCGTCCCAACAATTGGTTGAGTAGGGAGATATCCATGTGTAACATTGAGGGGGGGTGACCCAGAAGGAGGAAGTGAACTTGCCTTAGGGGAAGTTCTGTTGCCTGTTATACAAGAGGTCAGACTAGATGATCACAATGTTCCCTTCTAACCTTGGAGTCTATGAATCTATAGTTAGTGAGGGCCCAGAGGGCGGAAGTGGCAGAGCTGGGGGGGCAGAAAGAACCCAGGAGTCCTGCACTTCCACCCCAAAATCATCCTTCTCCCCGTCCCCAATCAAATGAGGATTAATGAGAGACAGGCTGAGATTTCATGCCTGCACTCTTTGAAGCTTAAATAATGGACCATTCTCCCTAGCTGAGTTGTCAGAGAGGAAGGCTGGCACAGTTGTTAGGGCACTAGTCTAGGTCTTGGGAGATCCAGGTGCAAGACCCTGCTCTTCCAGAGAGACCTTGGAAGCGTCACTTAGCTTCTCTGTGCCTCAGGTCCCTAAAAAGGAGATACCCCCATGAGGCAGCACATCACTAATGGGAGGATCGCCATTGTGAGGTGCCCAGCTAGTAGCGATGATGGGGGCCAGAGACATGCCAGAGATGGTTCAGGTTTCAGAGGGGTAGCCGTGTTAGTCTGTATCAGCAAAAACAACAAGGAGTCCTTGTGGCATCTTAGGGCACATCTTCACTACCCACTGGATCGGCGGGTAGCAATCGATCTATTGGGGATCGACTTATCGCGTCTAGTGAAGATGCGATAAAATCGATCCCTGATGGCTCTGGCGTCGACTCCGGAAATCCACCGCGGCAAGAGGCGGAAGCGGAGTCGACGGCGGCGCGGCAGCGGTCGACTCGCCGCCGTCCTCACAGCCAGGTAAGTCGACCTAAAATACGCAACTTCAGCTACGCTATTCACGTAGCTGAAGTTGCGTATCTTAGGTCGCCCTCCCCCCCCTACAGGAGCAGGTATAAATACATGAAAGGATGAGGGTTGCTTTACCCAGTGTGAGGTCAGTCTAACGAGATACCTCCTCCTGTATTTTTCACTCCATGCATCATATGAAGTGGGTCCTAGCCCACGAAAGCTTATGCCCAGATAAATGGGTTAGTCTCTAAGGTGCCACAAGGACTCCTCGTTGTTTTTATAGATGGTTCAGTTTGCAGAGTCCTGACAGGTTGGGACTAGAATAGTCAATTCCCAGAGTCAGGGCACGTCTTCACTAGAAAACAAGGCAGCATCAGAACATGATCTCAGAGTCACCTTAACGAGCACAATGTTAAACTACTACTTAGACGGGGGCGAGCCGGGTTTAACATCCGATCAGCTGGTCGGGATGGAATAGGAGAGCTAACCCCAACCAGCTGATGCGATATTAAACCCAGCTTGCGCCCGTCCACACAGGAGTGTTTTAATGTCATGCTAGTTAACATGACTCTTCAAGGTTATCTTGTAACACTGCCTGGGGAACCATAAGGACACGCGCCACCACGCTGTTCAGAGCGGGGGAAAAGGTGACTCATGTTGCTTAAAGAATTTAAGGCCCCCATAAAAAGAAACTTCAGTAATCTAATCACCTCTGTAACTCCCCTCCCCCCAAATGCAACAAGGAGAGCAGAGCCAGCAGCAGATGGGAAGGCAGGACTGCCTGTGACAGAATGGGGTGTGGCTTTAGGGGCCTCACCTCGCATAGCTCAGAGCAG